ACACACACAGACAGCCTCTCGACAATATGCGTTTTTGCTGGCTGTAGCAACGCTATAGCGCTGCACGGCAAAAACGCATAAAAATTAAACAGTCTGGGCATAACTACATAAATGGCTTCCTGCTTCAGACTTGGCTTGTGCGCTCACTGACGTAGATTTTGCATAAAGAAAAATAATTTCCGTCAAATGTTCAGTCTTTGAAACTGAACTGTTTAGTGAACAATTTTCCTGCCAAAACTTTTAAACACCCCTCTGCGAGAACCACGTATACAGGGGCCGAATTTGGAATCTTTTAGTTATACTCTGATAGAGAACATCCCGTTAAAATTCCAGCTTTCCAGTTTCCTGGCTACTGAGTTAGCAGTTTTCCCGTCAAAACTTTCTCGTGTCTGTACGACGCGCATGTGGGAAGTGAATTCGAAATATTTAAGTTATACGTAAGTGAGAAACATTCCCTTAAATTTCAGCCCCTCAGCTTCTGTGGTTCCCGAGTTAACAATTTTTCCGCAAAGCTTTTACGTGATCGTGCATGAGAACCACGCACAAGTGGGGCTGAATTTGAATTATTTATGTTGCACGCGGACGAACATATCCGCATAAGATTTCAGCCCCCTGCTCTTCTTGCTCCCGAGCTAGCAATTTCCCCGCCAAAACTCTCAACTGCTCTTGCGCAAGGCGAAGACGTGGATGGTTCTGGGATGGAACTTGACCGGAAAATCCACTGGCAAAATTATAGCGACGGAGCTTGCTTGGTTTACCGAGCTGAAATGCTGGTCAGTCAGGTACACACGCACACACACATACACACATACACAAACACACACACACAAACACACATACACACCTATACACACAGACACAAACACAAAAACATACACATACAAAATATGCGTCTTCATGCGTTTTTGATATGGAGAGCTTTAGCGCTGCAACAGTGAGCAAAAACGCATATTGTCGGGAGGTCGTCCGTGTGTGTGTGTGTTCGGAAGCAAAGTGAACTTTGTTACCCACTTTCAACCCAGCAGCCAGAAAAGCTGGAAAACTAAAATTTAGGAGGTATATTTCCATCTATCTGTCACCCTCCCGTTTTAAAGTTATTACTCCTACGTGCCTAGATTTCGTGTATAGACCACTCCCCCCCCCCCTCTGCAAAAAAAAAAATGTTTGTTTCTTTGTCGGGAAAAGATTTTGCGAATCAGGCAATACAGAAAGCTGAAACGTTGCAGGGATATTCTATGTGCTTGTTTGAGCTAAAGATTTCAAATTCAGCCACTGCGTACACTTGTGCAGCCTGTACGGTCATGTCAAAGTTTGCATTTGGAACTGTGCTAACTCGAAAACCAACCGGAAAACAGTGGCTGAAATTTTGTGAGAATATTTATCGTCTATATGGGAAATCGTGCATCTAAATTGAGTTCTATTTGCACTTGCGCCATGACTTGGGGCACTTCAAACATATTTGTAGTAAAGCGGCTGTTTGGCTTATCGGAAACGGTACGAGGCTGAAACTTCGCAGCGATGTTCTACTATCATGTGCGATTTTAATTCAGTTTGGAGGTGAAATTCGCCGCAGGTGGGTATGGAAAGTACTCAATTTTATCACATACTCAAAAGCGAGTGCATTTCGCCGACTTCATAATCCTCTTTCGACTTTCTTCAAATTTGCATTTTTTCAGTGAAAAAGCATTAATCTGGAAAACGACCGAGTTCCATGCAAAAAACTGATAATTATGTACGCTGGAAGCCCAAGCGACTATACAAGCAAAAACTTCATCCCAGCCGACGCTTCTTCCTGCTGTATGGGGGAAGAGGTCGAAACAGAACGATTGTGTGTCCAACTGTTAAATTACAGCGTGCGGACCATTGTACGAAACTGCTTTAGCGATATGCAAGTTTAGCGTAAAATTCACGATCGCACTAGCGAGTCTGGTGCGTTTGAGCCTGGGTTGCATTCGAATATATGCCAAAACGCATAACGAGTGGTTTTGCAGTGCTTTTTTTTGTAGCTGTACTTTAAACAACTGACATAATTTTCAGTGGAACTGGCGGTTTCTGGCTTAAAAACAAAAATCTACGAAGTTATTTTTAAAAATTTCTTCTAGATCCCACATTTGGAAGTTAGACAAACACTGATGGATGCTGTGTGAACTGCAAGTGCAACGCAGTTGTCAGCAGTACCAATATCTCTAGCGAGCAGTATTTCGGCTTCCAATTATGTTTGAATGTGCGCGTTTAGTATTCAGCCTAAAACTGCGTGTGGTCTTTTTAAAATCCAATTATACTGGGAAAAGATTTTGAATTACCTGCAAAACGTCGCCAGTTTTAAATGGAACACCAGCTTGCGGGCATGGAATCAAATCATCCTGAGCCGGATCGTAATCGAACTGAGCACGAACGAAAATCTCACACGCTGGCGGAGCACTGCGATACGATGGCACAATTTTGAACGTTACTGCACCACGAGCATCACGCAATAGCCTCTGCAGCATTTCGACACTCTGATTCAACACACTGACACCATTGATCTCGCGTATTTCATCACCCACGTGAAGAGTTGCTACAAATTTTGAGGAATAATTTTATTGCACAAGATGCAATTTGCAGCATTGCGCCAGGCATAATTGTGCCCAAACACATATGTGGCAAAGCGGGTTTTTGCTTAAATATCTTTAGCCATATTATTTTGCATTGAAATATGTTTCAGAAACTAAAGCCGTCTCGGTGCGGGTGTCCTATATCAGCACCGATACTGGGAAACGCTCACATGCCACGTGCAGCCATGTCCTTAAATTGTCAGTTGGATACCTATAATTAGTACCAGCACCTGCTGTATAAGTGCAACCTCTCCGGAAATCGCGCGATCGATTGTTTGTTTTCTCACGAATTACATTCACCGATTGTTGGCAGAAAGATCAGTAACATTCTCCCGCTATCGAATTTTACATTCACGCGTAATCGCAATCACATCTTACACCACTCATCTACAGATTGTCTGATTGCTTATCTGATCCAGAAAAAGTATTTTAAGTGCCCCACAATTTTTACGCCAATTAGCACATCCCGCATATGCACGTAATTGCCTTCAGTAATGGCACCGAGCAGTTGAGCACGGTCCTTTCGATTCGACTTTTAGGACATCGACGATGCTCAGAAGTTTGCGCAACTGACATCCCTCCTATCTGCAGCCTCTGGCTGGAGACTGTACCATACTTCTGGCCAAGAAAGGCGCAACTCTTATATATAAACGAGGTTGTTGCAGTATATATATAAATATATATGTACTGTAACACATATACATATATATAAATATATATATATATGTGGGCCTGAAAACCTATGTGTCGAAAACAGTGTTGCATTATATATATATATATATATATATATGTGTTGCACTATATATATGTACATATATATGTATATGTATATATATGTATATGTATATATATGTATATATATATATATATATATATATATATATATATAGTGCAACACCGTTTTCGTCACATTGGTTTTCAGGCCCAGCCCCTTATTTCGCACAAAGATCTGCAACAGTCATTCTTTCCGACTGACAAGTGTATGCATGAACTGCATGCATTTCACTCGATCGCCGTTGATGTTCCAGCAACAGACTAAACTGAATCAACATGAGTAACGTACCTTGCCTATGTATTAATCCACCGTGCATAATTCTGGCAACTAAGCACCGACCATCTTCCGTGACCTGTAAATGTAAGTTTTCGCTAAATGGAATGGAAAATTTTCAGCAGTAGCAGGCACAGAATGGGGTACGCAATTCCAAGAAGCGCCACCGCAAGGAAAAGACAGTTGAACTATGTCATGAAGGAGCTGGACTTTTGGATCTATGCTCGTCATGTTGTCTCTCGTCATGTTGTCTTCTCAGGAATTTTCATTTCATGCCCATCATACAGCGCCATCGCTCCGATGAGAAAATGCTTGCTCTATTCTATCAGCATTAATTCAGGCAGTGACCAAAGCAGCAACAGTGTGCATCGCGATTGTTAGGATTATGTAGTTTTACAATAAAATGTTTGAAACTCTCAGTAGGAAAACTCACGATTTCCTCCCGATCCATAATAAATTCGAAAAAAGGGTTCCGTTCATGACAACACTTTCTTAATTTCAGCTGCTCAGATTTTCTAAATACTTGAACTAAATAATACAATAGGAACGCAGAGACAAAACGCATATATGCAAACTTCACTGTTAACATAATACATTTTTGCACAATCGTTATTAAGGACGCAAAAAAATGCGCTATTCAGTTATTCATTAGACTTCTGCTAACAAATTGCCTTACTTGCTGTAGAAATTCAAACAATACCTTCAAGGTGATTCCCATTGGTTCTTCAGTATCTTTCTGAAATTGCACCAGACGCACTCTACTGACCGCATCCATCATCAGATCATCGTCATCATCGAACAGAGGTGGCACAAAAGACTGCGGTAACTCATGTGCGGTGGACGATGATGCAACCGCGAACGGTGGTGGATGTGACCGAACCACACCACCATTGAGGTACGAAAATGGCAGTTGTGACGATGAGGACGTACAAGCCTGCAACTGCCAACTTTTGTACACGCATACAAAGTATCATACAATTTAATCGACCGAGATGTTGGAGTCCCATGGGGATTCTTTTGTGTGTGTGTGTGTGTGTGTGTGTTTGTTTGTGTGTTTGTGCGTGCGTGTGTGTGTGGATCCGTGTGTGGATGCGTGTGTGTGTGTGTTTGTGTGTGTGTGCATGCGTGTTTGTGTGTGCGTGTGTGTGCGTGTGTGTGTGTGGGTGCGTGTGTGTGCGTATGTGCGTGTGGGTGCGTGTGTGCATGTGTGTGCATGTGTGTGTGTGTACGTTCGTATGTGTGTGTTTGTGTGTGTGTGTGTGTGTGTGTGTGTGTGTGTGTGTGTACGGTGAAACGAAGCCT